AAAAAAATGTTATAAATACATATTATTAATAACAGTTATGAGATCATATAATTGTGAATGTATATATGAAATTGATAAAATAAAAATTAAAAAAACAATGTTGATGTAATGACTGTAAGGTGTTGTAGAAGGGGAAAAAATAATTTTAAAAAATCTGCTAAAAAAAAGAAAAGAAAGGAAGGTCAAAGGATGATCAAAACGTTTGGCCTTGCAGATGTTTAACCCTAGATTCCAATTCCAATTCTGTCCCTGGCTGGAAAGCTACTGCGATGGCAATAAGGCGGTTAAGAGGGGGCAGATGCCCTCACGAACATTCTCACAACCCAATAAGTAAGTGTTGAATGACCACTGGCCTTTGTCCAGTGCAAAAAATGGCCTTGTTTGTGTTTGAAGCAGTGGGAGAAGGCTGCGGCAAGGCAGAGAGTAGGAAGAGCCTAAAATTTTGGAGGAGATGCCATCTGGGAGGAGATGCCCACCTTTGAGGTTCACCCTAATAGCATGGCTGAGATGGGGCAGTGGTCAAAGTCATTGCAACTTCAGGTCTAAAATTGTGTCCTTGGGGCTTTCGGTCTGATGCCATAATCGTGATATGGACAAAAAGCCAGTTTGGTCTGGTTTGATTCGGCCAAGGCACCCAGCCAGAAACCAGAAGACAGTGAGTTCTAGTGCTGCCTAAGGCACAAAAGCTGGATGGATGACTTTGAGCCAGTCACCAGGCGACAGTGAGTTCTAGTCCCATTTTAGGCATAGAAATCCAGTTGGGCAACCTTATTTTAGCGCATGTGCTCAAAAGCTCGATTGGGCTTATTATCTGGGGAGATCTTATTTTTAGGGAAACAGGGTAGATTCAAAAATGCCCCATTTTCTCTCTCTCTTTCTTTCTTTCTTTCTTTCTTTCTTTCTTTCTTTCTTTTTCTTTCTTTCTTTCTTACATATTTATTCTTATTGCACATTTTTTCTTTACATGTCTCTATCACATATTTAACAGATTTGTGGCGTTATTCATACAACTAGACTTAATATTCGTATGTATACATTATATGCATTCTAGTTCCAAGCTTTCTAACCCTATATACATTTCCATTTCTTGTTTCTATTGTTTATCCATTCATACCATTTCTCCCATACCGCATAATACTCCAAATCATCCTTTCCCTTTAACTCTTAACGTGAGTTCGTCCATTTCTGCACAATCAAATATTTTGGGGATTATTAATCCCTCTGGTGGAATACTATCTTTCTTCCAATATTGCGGGAAAGCAATCCTTGGCACCGTTATTATATGTGACATCAAGTATTCTAACTTTAGATTATGCTTCACCCTCATTATCCCCAGGAGTCTTATTCTTGGGAAAACAGATTAAAAAATGCCCCGTTTTCTATGCCCTAGGAGACGGTCATCTTGTCTTTGCCATCGAATTTGCTGATGGAGTTCTCCAACCCCGTGTTTGAGGAGGACGGCGAGAAGCTGACCCAGAACCAGCCGGAGGAGGAGAAAGGCAGAGATGCCAAACTCACCACCAATGGATTTGGTATCGATAAGTCCATGTTTTGGAGGGGCACTAAGACGGTACAACAGTACCCAGCAGGATTGGGGGGGGGGGTGTCAGTTGGGTGTGAAAGTGAAGAGGCTGGACTAGAAAACCAAGAGGTTATGAGTTCAAGTCTTCTTTAGCCCAACACTCCACGCCAGGGAATTCTTGTTAGGAAAAAGGGAGCGTTTTGAATCTTGTCTTGAGTTGTCCTGAAGCAACGATGGGATAGAAGAAATCTCTTAATTGTTACAGAGGAGATGGTTTGGGGGTGCATCACTCCAGGGTTGTTAGCTCACATTTCTGTTCTAATGGCGTTCCACAGCTTGGTGTTCTCCAGGTAGGATGGACTCCAACTTCCATCTCCCTGAGACAGAGGAATTCAGAGCTATGCTGCTGTGTTGTGTGAATTTGTTTGAGTGAATGAGAAATATGGGAGCTGAAATCCGACAGCAGGCAGGCAGGCAGGCAGGCANTATGTATATGTATATGTATATGTATATGTATATGTATATGTATATGTATATGTATATGTATATGTATATGTATATGTATATGTATAATACGTATCCATTTCGAGAGAATTTTTGCTCCTTTCAGTTGCCCTGGTCTGGCTGGGCAGCGCTGTAGCTTTAAGAGCCCCATAGCCCATGCCAGGGCCTCTGACCTGGCGAAGTCCTCAGCTGAGTTGGATTAAGGCACCGGGGCGCCTGGTGGCTCTCATGCTCGCGCATTCTTTCATTTCCCAGCAGCTTAGCCAGTCCCTTCTCCCAAGGCTCGGCTGGCCAGGGATGGGCTGTGGTCTTGAAAGCGAGATGAGGGCTGGTTGGTTGAATTAACCCATCGCCTTCACCGGGAAGGCAAAAGGGCATCTATTGCAGCCCTCATCTCACCCTTTGGGGGATCCTTCACCAAGGAGGAGAACTTCTGGTCCGCCGTTGAATGCCCAGAGGTTCCTGGGAGAGCTGCCACTGCAGAAAGCCAGATGCCGCAGGAAGGGGGGACATGTGGCAGCCCCAGGCAGGCGGGGATCCTCTCCATGTATCCCCCAGCCTCCTTCCTGGCCATGAAGGACTTCACCAAGGTCGACTTTCACCCAAAGGTGCAGAATCAAAACCAGGTAGGCAGAAGACCGGTTGTCTCAGGAGGCTTTGGGCTCCGTATCTCCATCCAACAGGGACCAGGGGACGTCCATTGTCCAATCCCTTGAGTGTTGCATGTTTGTGGACATCATAATGACCTTTTTTGACTTCCTGGGGCACCCCCGTTAAAGACAGCACCCAAAGATTTTGCTTAGCCCCTTCCCCAAGTGGAAACTGCCTTTGGAAAGCCATGCTGGTTTATTAAAAAAAAAACCCATGCGCACATCTCTTTTCTTTCTCCTCCTGATTTTCAGTCTCCTGGCATCCTCACTTCCCGGATCTCTGGAAATTATTATTATTTTTTTATAGAGGGCTGCTCATCCCTGGGGAGGAAGGAGCCTTGTGGCGAGCAAGCACCTCATTACAAGCCAACTTCCTTAAGAATATTGGACAAAAATTTGGAAATGGGTGCAAGAAATTACAGGAGAACAGATAAAATANGGGAAGAAAGGGAGAGGGGGAGGGAAGCAGGAAGGAAAAGGATAGAAAGGGAAGAAAGGGAGGGATGGAGGAAGGAAGGAGAAAGATAGGAGGGGGAGGAAGGGAAGGAGAGATAAGGAGGAGGGAGAGAGGAAGAAAGGAGAAAGAGGAGGGGAAGAAAAAGAGGGAGAGAGGAAGGAAGGAAGGAAGGAAAGGAGGGAGGGAGGAAGGAAGGAAGGAGAAAGAAATAGGAGGGGAAGAAAGGGAGGGAGGAAGGAAGGAAGATGAAAGAGATAGGAAAGGAAGAAAGGGAGAGGGGGAGGGAAGCAGGAAGGAAAGGATAGGAAGGGAAGAAAGGGAGGGAGAAAGGAAGGAAGGAGAAAGATAGGAGGGGGAGGAAGGGAAGGAGAGATAAGGAGGAGGAGGGAGAGAGGAAGAAAGGAGAAAGAGGAGGGGAAGAAAAAGAGGGAGGGAGGAAGAAGGAAGGAAGGGAAAGAGATAGGAGGGGAAGGAAGGGAAGAAGAGAAGGAGAGATAAGGAGAAGGAAGGAAAGAAGAAAGGAAAAGCTTCCAAGCCTGGCAACATATTCCTCTGGATTTCTGAAACTATTTAGAGCAACATCTAAAAGGTCTTCTGCTCCAGTCTCACCTCCAGAGGTCCTTCTTGAGGTTATCACGAGAGGTCATCGGAACAGCTGGGGGGGGGGAGTGGGAGGTCGTAGGGGTACCACGATGGCCAGCCTGCTTCTCCCTACCCTGCAGCTCAACAAGTGCAAGAGGAAGCCAGCAAGAAATTCAAGCCAGACTGCAAATTCTCCTGGCTTTGTGTGACCGTCCTGAGCCTTCTCCTCCTCCTCCTCCTGGCCTTGCTCGTGGGCATCCTAGTCACCTACCGTAAGTTCTGGATGGAGGGGTGGGGTCTTGGAGGGGCATTCCTGTCATTTAAGCCCATCCTGGGCCAATACGGGCTTGCTTTGAGGGTAGCTGGTGGTGGCCATCCTGATGTCGTCTCCCTGAAGCTAAGTAGGCAACAAAGGCAGGGTATCAGGGCTGGGTCTGCCCTTTGCTCCTTTCGTGCTAATAAGACCCCGAAGGCCACGCACTTTAATTCTAAGAAGCCAACATTCTTCAACGCACAAGAGGAAATTATTTTCCAGGTCCAGGTAAGCTGAGAAGGCCGGTTCTCTTCATGTCAGCAGCTACATAGGACCTTCTGGCGGAGCTCAGCCTTGAAGAGACGCCCTTGCTTCATCCATCCCATATGGGACGGGGTGGCTCAGGGGCTAAGACGCTGAGCTTGTCAATTAGAAAGCGATTGATTCTAATTGAATCCGATTGATTCTAATTGAATCCGATTGAATCTGATTGATTCTGCCGAGTGATTAGTCGGCAGTTCAGCAGTTCGAATCCCTAGCGCCGTGTAAAGGAGTGAGCTCCCATTACTTGTCTCAGCTTCTGCCAACCTAGCAGTTCGAAAGAATGTAAAAATGCGAGTAGAAAAATAGGGTTCACCGACAAACGCACGCTGGACAAAAGCGTGCCGACGAAACTGNCCTTGAAAGACTTTGCTGGAGGTGAATGAGCAGAATTCACAGTCAATTAATAAAAGGGGTTTTTGTTGGGACCAGGAGTTTGCTTCATGCTCTCGGGAAGCCTCAGTCAGAACAGTGGCAGAGCTACCTTAATGTCTTACCGGATGTCCAAGGGTGTGCCGTAACTGGGGAAAATTGAATATAACTGGCAAAACGTGGCCTGGGCAGCGTGGTTGAGAGGAGGGGGGTATATTTCCCCAAGCAGGGAGCAGACTGCTCTAGCAGGGGAACATCTGATTTCCATCATGTGCTACTGGGAAGGTTTCCATTCTCTTGGTGGTAGCAATTTGTAAACCCTGCATGGATCTGAAGTATCGGTGCCTCCCCGCCCCCAATTCAGAGTCCAAACTGGAGGGTGGGAGGAGGAGTTCTCTGATCTCCAAAACCCAGATTAGCATTTTGGGAGGCCAGAGAATAAGGGAGGCCAATTCTCAGCAGGCGAAAAGGGGACATCTTGTCCCATCTTGGATGCGTTTTCCCCTTTTTCCGCTGCCAGAGATTCTGCATTTGCAGAAGCAAACCCATTAGTTGGCTTGTTTGTTTCAGCATCCGGAGCTGCTCCCACAGTAGCTCGTGCGCCGTAATCAGAACCAGAAGTGGAGTTTAGAACCGAAAAAGAGGCGGCAGGGAAAGGAAAGGGGATCAGGGGAGGAACGGAAAACAAGAGAAATGCAGTAGGTGGATGGGGAAGTCTCCAAAGAAAAACCAAAGGTGCTTTTTTCAAGAGGAGACTGGACTTTTTTTTCTTTGAAGACCTTTCGCTTCTCATCCAAGAAGCTTCTTCAGCTCTCAGCTGAAGAAGCTTCTTGAAGGAGAAGCGAAACGTCTTCAAAGAAAAATCAGAAAGTCCGGTTGCCTCTTCAAAAAGCACCTTTGGGACAACCATGAGCTGGAGGACTGAGAATCTCCATAAAAAGGGAAAGGTTCCCCTTGCACATATGCGATTGTCGTTCCTGACTCTAGGGGGCGGTGCTCATCTCCGTTTCAAAACCCAAGAGCCAGCGCTGTCCGAAGACGTCTCCGTGGTCATGTGGCTGCCATGACTCAACTCCCGAAGCCGCATGGAACGCTGTTCCCTTCCCACCAAAGGTGGTCCCTATTTTTTCTCCTTGCATTTTTGATTTCGAACTGCTAGGTTGGCAGAAGCTGGGACAAGTCACGGGAGCTCACTCCGTTACGTGGTGCTAGGGATTCGAACCGCCGAATCGACAAGCTCAGTGTCTTAGCCACTGAGTCACTGCTTCCCTTTTGAGAATTTCCATAGACCTCTCCAAAGAAACATCTAAGGTTGTTTAAGTTAAAACAAAACCCCAAAAAATGAAATAAAAACTCAGAGTGTGGCAAAAATAGCTATGAAGACATCGAAAGCAAGCTCAGTTTATTGAGTGACCTTCGCCCGGTAGTAAAATGTCCTGTTTGGTTTTATCTGAGTGGACTTTAGGAGTTCATTGATTTTAGGGTTCCACCTGATTTGGACTTATGTCTTGAACCTATTATAAGAACATGGTGGCTCAGTGGCTAAGACGCTGAGCTTGTCAATCAGAAATTTCAGCAGTTCAGCGGTTCGAATCCCTAGCACCGCATAACGAAGTGAGCTCTCATTACTTGTTCCAACTTAGCAGTTCGAAAGCACGTAAAAATGCAAGTAAAAAAATAGGAACCACCTTTGGTGGGAAGGGAACAACATTCTGTGCGCCTTCGGGAGTTGAGTCATGCCGGCCACATGACCACGGAGACATCTTCGGACAGTGCTGGCTCTTCGGCTTTGAAACTGAGATAAGCACTGCCCCCTAGAGTCAGGAACGACTAGCACATATGTCCAGAGGGAACGTTTACCTTGAACTTATTAAGGTCTCCTTCCTCCTGGAGGGAAGAGAAGGTTCCTTTCATCCTGATGAAGTGACATTCCTGGTTCTTTCCCACCTGTTTCCCAGGTCTTCAACCCACCCTTCCTGATTTGGAGGGGGATCTCCTCTTCCTGTTGGACAGCTCCGGCAGCGTCTCCTCCTACGAATTCTCCCGGATCAAGGAGTTCATTGCTGAGCTGCTTCTCCCGTTCGCCTTCGGGCCTCGCGATGTCCAGACCGGCATCGTCCACATCAGTACCACGCCCATCCTGGAGTTCCCCTTTGACCAGCATTCCTCCACCGACGCCGTCCAGCATGCCATCCGCAACATCCAGCAGAGGATGGGGGACACCAATACCGGCCAAACCATTTCCTTCGCCAAGGAGAAGCTCTTCACGGCCGAAGCGGGGGCCCGCCCCAACGTCCCCAAAGTGCTGGTGTGGGTGACGGATGGCTTCTCCAAGGACGACGCGGCCCAGCCCATGCAGCTTCTGAAAGACATGGGGGTCACCGTCTTCATCGTCAGCACGGGGAGGGGCAACTACTTGGAGCTCTCGGCTGCTGCCAGCCAACCGCCGGAGAAGCATCTGCACTTTGTCGATGTGGATGACCTGGGCCTCATCACCAAGGAGCTGCAGGACTCCATCGCAGGTATTGGGGTGGAATAGCAATAGCCCTTAGACGTATATACCACTTCACAGTGCTTCACAGCCCTCTCTAAGCGGTTTACAGCCTCTTGCCCTCAACAATCCAGGTCCTCATTTTACCCACCTCGGAAAGATGGAAGGTTGAGTCAACTTTGAGTTTGCAAGTTTGCAAGTTTAATAACATTTATATGCCGCCCAATCCCGTAGGACTCCGAGCGGCTTACAGTACAAAAAATAAATCAAAAATAAAATGCAGGGAAAGAAAAGATAGATTTTAAAACAGCACACCATACACTCCGTTCTAAATGGGGCTGGATCGTATTTTGGGGTCAACAGCCCCAGGCCTGCCGGTGAGATTTGATCTACCAAATTGCAGGCAGCTGGCAGTCAGCAGAAGTAGCCTGCAGTACTGCACTCTAACCAGATAGATAGATAGATAGATAGATAGATAG